TGAAACGCTTGAGTTTTCCTATGCATCATGGGCAGCGCAGTCCCAACCGTGTTTCGGCTTACCGTTCGAACGGTACTATACTCCTGCTCAACCACTTCCCGTACGCGACCGGCTCTCTCTCTCCGATTCTCACCTTCGATGAACCCCACCCGATGTCCGTCGTCTCGAGTGTAGCCACGTTTGCCCCGGACCTATCGTACACCCGAATGGCACTGCCCCGGGGAATGCGCGTCGCGTTCACTCTATAGAGCGGCTTGCCGTCTGGAGAAAGAATGGCGGTGTTGATCGGGTTGTCAGAGTCGAGAGTGAGAGTCAGTACGGGTGCCTCCATGATCATTATTTTGTTACGCAGACCGGGTCTGCATGGTATGCTGCGTCATTGAGATGTCCGCCCTTATACGGGCTCTATCCATTTATATATGCGATGCTAGATCCTATGACCTCGAGGCCGTGGCCCCAAAATGACATGCCGTACGAATTAATCCTGGTCGTATGTCTGTAGTGTACACCACATGATATGGTAGACAGATCGCAGTCGAAGTGTTACTATGCGCACCATGAGCCCAAGAGTACAGAGGACGACTGCGCCAAGATAGCAACGCGCCTGTCTGATGTCCAAGCCCCTTGCATGTATACTAAGTAGTGGAGGACGAACAGGAGGACGGTCTCCATTTGGCCACCGATCGTGGGGCAAATTCTGGGGTACCGCCGGTAAACGCGTAGAACGATGGGCGCTCCTATGATCCACTCCGGGCGGGGACCACGTCGCTGACACAGAAGAAATCAGCTTGTGTGCATTCTTAGAGCGCCACGACGAGGTGTCTTCGGTGCGTAGCGGCGTAACGTTATTAGGCATACAGCCATTGCCCCTGAATCGATCACTTATAAGTGCCCAGCATCCGACCGCGCTGGAGAACGCCAGTATTACGCTCACCGTGTGCGGCGCTGCACTTTACAATGACCAGCCCGCTCGAGATCATCACGCTCACGTTCTCCAAGGACAACCCCTACAACACGACCATCACCGATGCTTCCGGCCAGGTGCTCTATGTCGTGCACACTCAGAGCGGCAAGAACGCGTCCACGACGCGCGTCTTTGAGGGCACCTCGGATACCGTCGCCGCACAGCTGACGTGGTCGGACACGGGCTTGACTCTCGCGAAGGTCACGGTCCGTGGGGGAAGAGAAGTGCTGATGAGCGCGTGGATGAGCAAAAGTCGGATACCGTTCAATGAGTGCTGTCATCCGCCTCAGGTGGATGGCGAGAAATAAACGGGAAGGTGCAGCAGCGCGGCGTTCAAGGACGAGAACGGAAGACAGTATAAGTGGAAGGGACTCGCAGCTGGGCGCGCTCTGGAGGTCAGTCGGATCGTTGTACTGCCGCGTCACACGTACCATATGCATTGCCGTCCGCATACAGCTCTATACCAAGGACGACGGCTACAAGCAGCCTATAGCGGGCTTTCACAAGTCAGTCACTGACCGGAGGCAAAGTCCCCCAACGGTGACTCCAGCGACATTACGACTTGCTCCGCGCGCGGACGAGATCCGGGAGCTGATGGTGTGTTCGTTCTTGTTCCTCGCAATTGAGAAGCTGTCGAAGGAGAAGGGCTTCGGGAACTTGCAGAATAGAATGACTGGTGGGCAGCTCGGTATGATCACCACAGGATCGGCTATGTAGTCAGACTTTCCAAGATCAAGACCGCAGGAATCAAGAGTTTTGTGAAATAATAAATAGAGGAAGAAACATAGAGATGTTGCTCAATCCTTGTCACAACATTTCAGTATGGATGTAGCTCGACCAAGGTATCACGGGGGGACGCCAGCCCGTGAATGGGCTTGCGTCACCAAATTGCCTGAGTGGTACTGTCGCCCCGTATGACATACTCATGATGACCATCAAGAGAAAATGTGGACTTGACCAGGAAATTCGAACAGTTGGATCGCAAATAAGTCCTCAACTGTCTGATGAATCCCGTTTGTGCTAGTGCTGCATTGGCTCGGGCCCCTTCCCTCCACTACTCTTCTTGGCCAGCTCGTTCCTATAGCATATGAGTATGCATACAGTAGCACAGGAAGCGCGACATACCTTAGCTGTACACTGAAATCATCTTCGATGTCATCGTCATCCCAGTTATCCTCCCAGAGCTTGTCCCCGCCGCTCTTCGCCGCGCCTGGGGACGCGCCGCCAAGATGTGCCAGGTCCGTCTGAGAGTCATCCCAGTCTAGTATATATGCCATGAATATAAGCTCGCTTCGTCTTCGTCTCTGCAGTCGTTTGCATCACGCACCTGCAACAGTGAACTCCTCAAACTCATCGTCCTCCTCGAGCATGCCCAAGTGGGGCACGGCCTGCTCGCGATTAGAGGACTCTCCCTCCTTCGTTTCAGGGGCCTTGGAGGACGATGCGGCTGCTGACATGACAGAACTAAGTCGAGAGAATAGACGGACGGCTGGAGATGGTCGACGCGTGTATCGAGGCGAGGACGCGTCAGACTCAGTCGTGGGAACCTGATCATGTGCAGGGGCACACCGCGACGCGTCTGTGGCTGCAGTTGCTCTGCTTCCCTTTCCCCACTTCGACTTGGGGGCAGACTTTGACAAACCGACATGGTGAAGGAGAGGACCGAGGCGCAAAAGGCGCGTGCTACGAATGCTAGAATACCTCAAACTGTGGATATCGCCCCGAGAAGTTCTCATATTCCGTCGTACGAGACTGAAACTGCTAACTCGGATGGCTCAGCCGTCGACAAGAGCGAGCACGTCCACCAGGCATTACTCGCTCTCGGCGCACCGTTGATATCTTCAGACGACATGCGCAGGCTGTGCAAAGGACCACTTGGGGACGCGCTCTTTTTCATGGCTGAGCACATGAAGGGACGTGCGGAAGTCAACCGAGCGCGGCAGACCATCCAACAGTGCGTTCCAATAACAGTATTTACCCGCTTGCATACCAGTCTAAGGACTATGGTAGAATGCGGGAAGCAGGTCCTTCAAGCCGAGTTACCGGCGATGGTCAGGAGACAGAGTACATGAAGGCGAAACACGCAATGGCGAGGTTGAACGGAGCGAAGAACGACTTTAATGGAGCAGAGACCCAATTGAACGCTGTACTACAGACCATAGATAATTCGCGTAAGTTATTTGCGTCAGCGGAATTGTGAGATTGCCTATTCCTGTTGCCTTGTAGAACGAGAAGCGGATCGACTGCAGGCTGTGCTGGACAACAAGCGGAAAGCCCTCTTTCTGTTGCAAATTCTGGAGAAGAAGGAGACCGTTCGCATTTCTAGGATCAAGGAGGTGGAACGATTGATGTCCCAGCTACAGTGAGGGGTCTGGTCATCGAGTACGAGAGAAGTGCGACGTGACTAAGGTTTGACCACCTAGGGCAGACTCGGCAAGGCTGGTGCCTAGTTTTACTCCATGAACGCGCTCCTCGCACTGATATTGAGAACCATACAGACAGATGATCCAGTTGTGCCCGTGCCCAAGGCACTGGATTCTAAGCCCAAACAGCCTATGAAACGCATACAAGCGGACCACACACAGGACGTCCTGGCCGTTGGTTACCTTGCTGACCTAAGCTGATGATACACCGCTTATAAGCACCGTCTACAGGCACTGCGATCTTACCACGTCCGGCTATCACGAAAGACTTCTGCGTCCAGTGATGATCCTCAAAGTGCTGAAACACGACGTAGAGCTAGTGAAGCGCGGCTCCGCGCTGCATTAGGCGAAGACGCGGGTGAACTCATGTAAATATCGTCTCGCGTGTATTCTCTCTTCGAACTGGACCTTACTTCCCCTTTTTTCCAGTCAGAAGTGCGAGAGGATCGCTCGCATACGAACAGAGCGGAACATCCGATACGAGTCGCCGCTTCCTTCTGGATTTTTAGACGAGCTGGGCAGTGCGCACCTGGACGAGATGCATGCACGCGTCGTACGTCCACTGACTCTTGCTTCGGAAACGTTACTCGACTCTAGCCTGTAGAGTGAGAAAGAACGGAAGCTACAACGTCTACTGGATGAGATCGCGGGCCTTGAAAAGGCCTGCACCCAAAGCATCCAATCCGTGGGTTTCCCCATATAATGATCGTGTATCAAGGGATCACGCCCGTTGTTTCTAGCTGTCGGCATTCGATGAATTTACACGGCCAGCCCTTCGTCAATCGCTGCAAGAAGAAGTGAGGAATATAGAAGGGTATATCGACGTGTTAAGGGCTGCCATCATGCAGGTTGCAGACGAGCCAGGACCACAGGACGAGTCTATCGCCGGAGGGAAGGTGAGACAGAGACATGTCAGGTGCGGGATGTGACCCACTAAGCTTGTGGTAGTCCTGGAGGCAGGCTTTATCGAAGGTACAAACCGACATCGAACAAGGTATGCCAGCCAAGTCTCCATCTTTGCATCTGCTCAAGTTACCTATGCGGCTACCATAGCCCATGCTAAGGACGCCTTCCTGCAATCAACGACCCTCCTCGAACCCTCATCCATACGCGACTGCTCTCGGCGTGCCAACGTCGGCGAACTCATCGGTACGTCTCGGCGACAACTCGGAGTCATCGCTGTAGACGCTGATGGCTGACTCATGTGCTCGCACTTAGCTTCGCATCGGGCGCGTCAGGCTCACATCAACGAGCGCAACACGTCTCTCCTCGCGCGCAAGCTTGAGAAGGCGAGGTTCGGTGATGCGCTTGGAAAGCAAGTCGAGAAGCTGCTAGCGGAGAAGGACATCATCGCTGCGATGAGTGGGACCAGTAAATAGTAGTGCTTCTATCGTCTGTCCCAAAGACGAAGCTTCCTGTCAAGACCTGGTTATATGCTCATGATCTCTCGCCTGATTCCAGGTTCAATCTCACCAACAACAAAATACAGAACTTCCCATGTTGCTCCCTCGCCCAGTGTTATTATATGGAATCGAACATACTTAATGCAGAATTGTTTCTCGCCTCGAGATCATGTCGATCGAGGGGTTATTGAACAGGAGGGCAAAATAATGCGACCAACCTGGGATTCGAACCCAGAATCTTCAGCTGACCAGCCTGATAATTTACATTACTAGGCAACCGGAAACTGACGCCTTAACCATTAGGCCAGTCGGCCATGGCAGGAGGTGGTCATTTACAGCATTATTAATGTCTATGGTGGGCTTCAGGAATGATTGCCTACTCGATCGTCGTTCAAACGTTCACTGCTGCCGTATGTTCCTATAGGCAATACTCATTGGTGTACATAGCACATAGATAGCCTGAGAGCTTGTCTGTGGTGCTTGAACAGCATTATAATGAATAGGCACACGTCTGATTGGATTGATTACCTGATCAATGATCGGTGGCGCGTGAACTCGACAAGGAAGTTAACCTGCTTCATATGGGCATCCGTCAGTAAGGACTTCACTACCACCGGCAATTGACATCTGATCATAGATGTTTTGTGGCACCCGGCAACTCCAATAAACTGAAGACTTTCCTGTGCGATGCGAAGAACTACGACTGGAAGTGAACTGCACTGGCGTGTCTTACTTCAAGATATGTGAAGAGCTGCCAGGCGTGCCCAAGGTCGATGGTTCGAATGCGTTCGAGCCGCGATGTACACAACGAAGAGGAGAACATTGCGTCACTCCCGGGCACCATCGAGTGGAGGCGGCGGATCGCTAAAGGTCTGAGACCAAATAAGGGAAAGCGTGCACCATATGAAGACATCCCCGCTCGGTCGGTGACGAACCGACTGACGTCGCCGCCGCATCCCGCATGGCGTCGTGACATGTCCCCACTCAGCCGTGCTGGCAGAGTGCATATATAAACATTACCTCGAGTAAGGTTCGTCCTCAATTTCTCGCCCACGCCATACCTTGACGAACCTACATCGTTCTCGGCGCCGTATCAGATTGACACCATGTCAGCTTCGAAGGGCCCTTACAACCTCCCGCCGGGCGAGCGCGGCGTCGACGACCTAACCTACAATCCCCAGGCTGACGCCCACCCCGACAATGCGGCGTACGACGACCACACAAATCCCGAGTCGCACCCCGTCGGCGCTCGCGGCGCAGATAACCAGCCTACCTTCCGCGATGCCGGAAAGGAGGATTTCGAGGCTGAACAGTCGGAAGTGACTGGCAGGATCCCGAAGAGTACGTAAGCTTCTCCTGAATGGCTTGAAGTCCCGCCTGACGACCCGTCGTAGGCGAAGTAAACGAGCTCTTGGATACCGCTACAGATGACGAGCGCAACGTCCAGGGCCGCACGCGCGGCAAGAAGGTCGACGCATTCCGGCAGGAGAGAGACTTTGACAAGGCTTTCGACGAGGCCGGTATCTCCGATGCGCAGCAGGATATCGAGATCGGTGCGGCTACCGGTCGTCAACAGTGATTGTGTATGCAGACAGGCGAACCGAAAGAAACGTGAAGTTCATCGGGATTGTACATTAGAGTCGTTAGAGTCGCACTTGAGTCGCCTTCGTAGCAATGCGATAATCAACCCTTGAATCTCTGAGGCGAGCGGGTGATAGCAGAAGTAAACAGCTCCGCACGCGTGTCCGCGACATTCAAGTGCCAGTGCGGGTCGTTCTGTCGACCTCGGTCCCGACATCGTATCCGTACCATCGAATATTCCTTAACGTTCAGTAAAAGGCCTCCTTCGTGAGATTAAGCGAATATTGTCGCCCATCTGAATATACGACGTCGACATGCTCCGAGTCAGTGCATACAATGGGATAGATTGTGCAACGGTAGAGACATTTTGTCTTGCTGAAAGATCTTGGAGCATCCATGTTCCGACTTGACGCGGTGCGTTCGTGCAAAACGCCGGATTCGAGACGCGTCCGACTGGAAGACAAAGTGGTAGGACAGATGCGGTGCATTGTACTGCAAGGGTCGCAGCGATGTGCCCTCGCGCATTAAATGTCAAAGAGGAAAGAGATTCAGCCACAGCATATATCGTGTAGAGCGTAGCGGAAGGTAGAAGCGAGCGCGCAAGGCGCAGAGCGAGCGGTGGAAGAGAGGACTTTGCGCGTGGACGAGTTTGATTGAGGAGCTTGGCAGTTGGTGGCGGCAGGCTCAGCCACCGATCTCATCTCATCTAGCCGGAATTGGCCCGCGCCACCGGAGAGCACGAACACAACAGCCTGCACCGCGCCGCCACGAGCCCCTCTTTTCCGCCCGCATCCCGCCCTCGCCCTCGCTCCTGGCACGCGCGCAACGTACTCCCCGATGACGGTCTTCCTCCCACTGGAGGCGTCATCGCCCGTCCCCCACACCCCCGCATTCCTCGTGCCCACGCCTCAGCCAGCCGCACACCTCCAGAAGGTCATCAAAGCGATCATGAAGGCGCGTCGCATCGCCGTCGTCTGCGGTGCGTACAGAGAGCGAGCGTGGTCGTCTGATCGTTGTTGATGCGCTACTCGCGTGCAGGAGCCGGCATCTCCGTTAAGGCTGGCATCCCGGACTTTCGCTCGTCCGAAGGGCTTTTTCAGTCACTGAAGAAAGACAACCCGACGCTGAGCTCGGGGAGAGATTTATTTGATGCGTCCGTGTTCAACGTGAGTGCCGCTGAGGCGTAACGCTGTCTTGGTCTTGTTCGCCGCGAACATAACATGCGGCCCGGCTACATGCTATGACACGCAGGGTGTGTGAGGCTGTCTTGCCAGCACAAGAACGCGGGGCCGTTTTCGTCCGTCGATGACCAAGGCGATCTCTCTGCTTTTCGTTCTTCATTGCCGCTCTTTCCATGTTTGCGCTCTGTATGCGGAGGTCTTGCTGCGTGGTCACCCAGTCTGCACGAGGTTCGCCTTGTGTACGTAAGTTCTGATTCCATCCCCTTCTCACAATCGCCCACTGGGCTATTTCCGGAAACCACGTACGGGCATGTGCTGACGAGTTGTTCCCAACAGTCCGAGGGCACGACGTCCATGTTCTGCCAGATGATCGCCCAGCTCGCAGAGCTGTCCGAGGTCGCGCTGCCGACCTCGTTCCACCATCTATTGCATGCATTTGACGAGCGTCGCCGGCTCCTCCGCGTGTACACGCAGAACATTGATGCGCTGGAGCAGAAGTGTGGGCTCACCTTCGGCGTTCCCGAGTCCGATGCAAAGCGGAATAAACCGCGCTTGTGCAAGCCCAAGACAGACGCATCGAGTGAGGCTGGTCCTTCCACCGTCGTCGAGCAGAACCGATTGCCCACACCACCTATGGAGACCCCCAGGTGTATACCCTTGCATGGCACACTTCAGCAGATGCACTGCCAAACCTGCACGCACTCCTTTCCTCTTCGAGATCACCTGCCCACCCTCATGGAGGGTAAACCTCCGTACTGCCCGGAATGCACAGCGCTGGAGGAGACGCGGCAGCTGGTCGGCAAGCGTTCGCGTGGAGTAGGCAAGCTCCGCCCGAGCGTGGTACTCTACAACGAGCTGCATAAGGACGGCGAGGAGGTGGGCGACGTCGTCCGACGAGACCTGATTGGGAGCTCGAAGGGGAAAGGTAGATCCGGTGCGGACCTGCTGCTGGTTGTGGGGACGAGTCTGAGGGTCCCTGGGACGAAGCGGATCGTGAGGGAGTTCTCGAAGGCCGTGCACTCGCGCGACTCCGCGGTAAGTGAAGGATCCACGTCGGTCATGGGCCTTGCAACGCCTACGCCGTCGCCCCGCCGGTCCCCGGCTGACGAAGAAGAACCACCGATACGCGCGGTGTACTTGAACCTGGACTTTCCAGTTCCGACGCGCGAGTGGGAGGGCGTATTCGACGTGTGGATCCGTGGCGATGCGCAGGAGTTCGCGCGACTCATATTGGAGGAGATGGATCGTGAAATGCGGGCGAAAGAAGAGGCCGCGGAGAAGAAACGGCGGAGAGAAGAGGCCGCGTTGGCAGCAAAGCTCGAGGCGCATATGAATGTTAGTGGCGAACACCATTCGGGTGCCGTTACTACGAGCGGGAAGAAGCGCAAGGCGGCGGGGGATGGCCAGCCGGGGTCCACCAAGAAGCAGCGAGTAGCGCCGCTTACCCCGGTGTCGATGAAGAAACCTGCTGGGAAGGGCCGGAAACTAAAGGACGGTAGTGGTGATGTGCTACCCGTCCCCGCCAAAGAAAATGTACAGTCGTCTAAGTCCAAGAGCGGACTGAAGATCCGCATCCCGCCCCGACCAGTAGTGCTTATAACCACCCCAGTGCCGAAGCCGAGGATGTCTGCATTGGTTACGCCTACACCCTCTCCGCCGTCATCTCCCCTTACGCCTGTTCCTTCGTCTGTATCTCGCCACAGAAGCACGTTGTCTCCCCTTTCGCCCATCCACAGCCCGTCCATCAGCCCGTCCACCAAGCCGCATTCACAGCCTTCCTACGGATATGGCTGGGGCGGACATGGGGATAGTTTAGACTTGTCGGACGACGACGACTGTGCTGAGTCGTACTTGCCTACTCTTCACTGCGATCCGGATGGACCTGCGGGATAGTCCACAGGACAGGATTCGGACGCTGCTATCATAGCAGGACTCTTCCTTAACTTAATAATAAGCCCTATTACTGTGTTTGAACGTTTTTACCCTACCACCTTTTGAATGTGCATAAAGCCTGCTTGAGCTGGCTTCCTCTTTTCGAACGGCTTCCTCGCGAATGGCATGGCAACTCGAGAGCCAGTGCTACTTTGGCCTTGGTTATTATGTCGGTGAGCGCCTGTCGAACACGCCTTCCCGATCGGGAGCGGCACCGGGACTCTGGTACAAGAGTCGAACGTCTTATATATGAACAAGGCGCGTCCTCCTTGGTCCTCATCTTCTTTCTCTATTACCCCCTTGCCCATACCCCGCAGCGAGGACCGCAAAATATGTCATTCTTTGGCTCTGCTACGTCGTCGACGGCTGCCCCTGCAGCCAGTGGGGACAAGGACATCGAGGTCGTCGACCCGCCCACAGACTCGATCTCTTGCCTTTCTTTCTCCGGTCAGGCTGACTACCTTGCTGTAGGAAGCTGGAGCAACGAGGTTAGTTGTACTTCTCCTCATACCAACCTCCACTCATCTTGAATGCATTTTGCCACCGTCTTGCTAGGTCCGCATATATGAGGTCGGTCCGACTGGACAAACGCAAGGGAAGGCGATGTACACGCACCAAGC